GTAGCTCATGTCTGTTGACTTTCTTGAAATGGTGATTTTTTTTTTTCTTTTGGTGGGGGGAGGGTGCTGGGGATTGAAACCAGGGCCTCATGAATGCCAAGCAAGCAAAAGCTTATGTGAGAAATGGCAAGAATTTTCAGAGGCAAATGATTAGATGATGAGAGGTCTTCTAGCCAGTGTATTAACCCTCTGATATGGATTAACTAGGTAAGTAGTTAGGCAGGGTGTGGCTGGAGGAAGTAGGTCATTGGGGGCGAGCTTGAGGGGTTGATATTTTGACTCTGGTGGGTGGAACCCTCTGTTTTCTGGTAGCCGTGTTCTGAGCTGCTTTCCTTCGCTGCACTGTTTGACTATGATGTTCTATTTCACCTCAGGCCAGAGCTCTGGAATTGGCCAACCATGGACTGAACCTCTAAAACAGTGAGCGAAAATAAACTTTTCCTCCTCTAAATTGTTCCTGGGAGTTCTTTAGGTCACAGTGTCGCAAAACTAAAACAGATTGGCACCAAGAAATGGGGTCTTGCTGTGACTGACCTGATCATGTAGTTCAGAAGCCTTTGCGGGTGGTGGTGGGTATTTTGAAAAGTTTGGAGATGTGAGCTGGAAAAGCGTTAGAATTATAGGCAGAGCTTAGTGAAAGGTTCTGGTGGGAGCTCAGACCAGAAGGGATTGTGGGCAGCCAGGACTGGGCGCATGTGGTTTCAGAGGAGGAGGGCTCTACTGGGGAACTGGACTAGAGGCCATTTGTGTTATGTTGAGGCCAAGAAGTTGTCTACATTTTGTCTCTGTTCTGAGACTCTTTGTGAGGCTGAATTTAAAATGTGATGTAGGAACTAATCTGGTGGAGGACATTTCAAGGCAGCACAGCATTGAGGAGGTGACTTTTCGCCAAGTGTACTGGGATAATCAGGAGTAGAAAGCAAAGTGGAAAGATTTGGAAAACTTGCAGTTTGACCAGAAAAGTGCAGTAAAACTGGAGCTCAGAAAGTCCCAGTCCTTAAAGACATACCACCACTAAATGGATGCTAAATACTTTACTCAGAGACAATAGGAAACATGACTTGAGGGCATCTCAGGAATTGGCAAGACCACACCCATCTCAGGCTTTAAGGTGTAAAGGTAAAAATTCCTTTGGGAAGAGAATGGTGGGGCATCCTGCATGTACAACAGGGGCCTAGGAAGCTGTTTCACCGTCCTCAGCTACCTAGGCCTGCAGAGGCTGCGGTAGCTGTGGTCCCAGGAGGCTTGGCTACTACTGGAGATGGAGACAAACCTTGGCGTTGAGCACTGGCATTAGCCGAGATTTCAAAGGAAGGCCTGGGAGGCCAGCACAGTGTTGCAGGGTTGGAGTCCCTGTGGGCTGCCCCTGAGAGGAGTGATGCATGAAGTGAATAGGAAGCTGCAGCTGCAGGGGAGACTCCCAAGAATAAGAGATGCCAGTACCATGGGACAGCCACAGGAACAAGCCAGGAGAGGCTGTGTGGGCTGTACCCAGCAAGGCTTTAGGAGTGGAGCTACACAAGCCCTTTGGAGAGAACTTCACAGTGCCTTGGGCCCCAGATGCTGGACAGGGAGCTAGCAGGACTTGTTTGGATTTCAGTCTTACTTTGGTCCTATCTCTTTTTATTCCCCTGATTCTCCTTTGTGGAATGGAAATGTTTACTCTGTGCCATTTTATATTGGATGTACGTGACTTGCTTTTGATCTTTAGGGGAGAATGTCCATAAGTTTGCCTTGAGTTTCAGATGAGAATTTGGTCTTGGACTTTGGGCAATGCTAAAACTGTTGAGACTGGTTACTCTTGGAAATAGACTGAATGTATTGTGAGATGGGCATGAGCTTTCGGGGCAAGGGGCAGAATGTTAAGGTTTCAATATGAGTACCTCCGTAAACTCATGTGAGACAGAGCTAGAATTCTCAAACATGAAATGATTAGATCATGGGAGTTGTGGCCTCATCAGTGGATTAATCCTCTGATATGGATTAACTAGGAGGTAACTGTAGGTGGGTGGGCTGTGGCTGGAGGAGTAGATCCCTGGGAGTGTGCCTATGGGGTTTGCATTTTCCCCTGGTGGGCGGAGCGCTCTCTGCTTTCCTGGTGGTCATGTCCTAAGCTGCTTTCCTTCACAACCCTTCTGTCACGATGCTTTGTTTCACCTCAGGCCAGAGCTATGCAGTTGGCCAGCCACGGACTGAACCTCTAAAACCTCGAGCCAAAATAAACTTTTCCTCCTCAAAATTGTTCCTGTCAGGTCTTTTGGTCACAGCGATATAAAGCTGACAAAAACACAAGTCTTCCACCTCCAGGACACAATCACCACCCCAAAACAGTGAAACTCTGTTTTGTGTACGGCCATGATGATTTCGTGATGGCTCTGGGTGCCTTTGAATCCCTGGCTTGGCTATTGGTTTCTGGTGCTGTAGCAGTTTTTCATTTAATTCAGAGAATGCCTTCTATTTCTGGTTTAAACACTGGTGATGACTTGTCTTTTCCTTATTATTTCTGAGTTGACTTGATTTGTGTACCTCAGTGCAGTTGAAGCAGTTGTATTAATTATCATTCTCTGGTTCAACTCCTTGTTTTAATATTTTTTAAAAGCAACCTTTGATTATTAAAACAGCACTATAGACTGACCACTATACAGCAGAGGTGGTCATTTCCCTAGAAAGAGAAACTGGGAATACCACATACATGCTCACGCATAGGGGCTTGGCACGCTGACCATGTCCTAAGCTGATCGCTGGTCTCTGATGTAGAGAGCCTCCTGGAGAGGTAGCAAGGGCTCATCTTTTCTCTGAGTTGTTACTTTCTCATAGTAAGTAATTTGTAACTTTTCATATTCATGGAATTTCTTTTTTCAGGTTTTTTGAGCTTTGCTGTGGCTTTCCCATGATTGAGTGTGTTCTGGTTCTCCACAGCCATGGGTCTGTTTTTTTAGCTGTGCTGGAGCTGGAGTCCAGGGCCTCACACCGCTAGGCAAGCACTCCACCACTGAGATGCACCCTACTCCCATTGGGTATTGCCCCGACCACTGTAACATGCCTTAGGGTTGCACCCCGACACCCTTTCCTCTAAGTACCTGTCTCGGTGCCTTAGATCCTAATCTCTGCTCTCCTTGGACTACTCCTTGAAAGTTTGCATTTTTACATGTATGAACTGTTGCTGCAGAGGTGAAATGGGTGGGTGTGCAGGGTGTTCCGTACAGCACTGTTTTCACTTGCTCTGGAATGTGTCCAGGGCAAAAGGTTCTTCGTTTCAACTCAGTGAAACAGAAAGTGTCATGAGCCTTGTGAACTGCTAGAGAGCGTGTGAAATGCTTCACATGTGCCTCCTCCCTTGGTGACTGGTGTTCACTCTTGGAAACTCCCATTTGAAACCCTCTCTGTGCTCCAGCTGCCCTGCCCTGCCTTCCTGCATGTTGGTCCTGCTCAGGTCAGATTAGGCTGCTGAGTTCCCGTTCCCTGCTTCCCGATTTCCATGAAATCATCTAAATCAGCTTTGTCAACAGTGAAACTGAGGTTGAAGTCTCTCTTAGAGTCCAGCAGTGAACATGTGAGGGTTGAATTGATGCTGTCGGTTCCCAGCTCTTTTTTTTTATTGCTGTGCTAGGGATGGAACCCAGAACCTTGCACATACTAGGCAAGTGTTCTGCCACTGGGCTGCACTCCAGCCCTCCAAAAGCCTGTTTGTACCCTGTCAGTCTCAGGTATGTATGCCCTCCTTCCCCACCTTTTATAGTCATCCTGGTTCACATGCCATTCCCGTCTCTTCTCCCTCTCCAGGTCCAGCCCCAGGTCCACCCTGCTCCTTGGAGGCCCTGTCAGTGTTTCTTAGGTAGCTGCCTCTTAGCTCGTTTTCCCAGCCAGCAGTGAGGTTTCTCTCCTTCACACCCTTATCTGCACTTTCTCACTAGAACAAGTAGCTTTTTTTGTTGTTGTTGTTTTTTTTTTTTTTTTTTTTTTTTTTTAGTTTTAGATTGAGCCCAGGGATGCTCAACCACTGAGCCACATCCCTAGCCCGTTTTATATTTTTTAAAAAATTTGAGACAGAGTTTTACTAATTCGGGTAGGGCCTTGTTAGGTTGCTGAGGCTGGCCTCAAACTTATGATCCTCTTGCATTAGCCTCTTGAGTTACTGGGATTACAGGCAGGTGCCACTGTGCCTGGCTGGGGCAAGTAACTTTTTGAGTGAAAAATAACTTGTTCCATCTGAGAAAAAAACTGTATGTCTTAGTTCTTGTTGAAATGTCCATCCTGAAATGTGCTTGAAAGGTAAGATGAAAAAATGCTTGCTTTTGTTCTCTGTGACAGAGAGCCTGGCCAGTACTGGCAGTGTGCAGTTTAAAGTTGACTACGAGAGTGCTGGGATTGAGGCTCAGTGGCAGAGCACTTGCCTAGCATTAGGAGGCACTGAGTTCAATCCTAGTGCCATGTAAAAAAGTTAACAAAGTAATCAAAAAAATAATGCAGGCTGGGGCTATAGCTTAGTGACAGAGGGCTTGCCTAGCATGTGTTAGGCATTGGGTTTGATCCTTAGAACCACATGAAATAAACAAATAAAAATAAAGGCATGCTGTCTATCTACAACTACAAAAAGAAGACGAGGGTACTGGTTAGGCTGAGGTTCTCCCACCATGGCCCACCTGCCTAACCCCTGGGGGTGGACGAGGGTACTGGTTAGGCTGAGGTTCTCCTAACCTACCCTTTCACCTCTAAGCTTCCTTGCACGGCCTCACACATGAGCTTTGGGGACACCTCATACCTGGACCATAGCACAAGGTGTAGATGCTTATTTGTCAGGAGGCCTCATCTGTTTCTTCTGTAATTCTGCTTGATCACTCCATCCTTTTCAGCGATCGTCCTCAGTGGTTCCCAAAGAGACTTTTGTGTCTCTTTACCCAGGTAGATTTTAGGCACCAAGTAACCTCATCGGATCCTAGTCAGTATTTCTTTATCTTCTGACTTTGTATAATGATCTTTTTTTCTACATTTTTTTGAAGGACCTTAAAGGCTTTGATCCAGGAGAGAAGTTCTTCTATAACACATCATGGGGAGATGTTTCTCTCTGGGAACCTTCTGGAAAGAAAGTGGTATGTATTTTTGTATTTAGTTTTCACTAGGGGTAAGTGTGGATTAATCTGAGGAACTCCTCAGGTGTCTGGAGCCTGGTGGGTGAGTGGGAGGGGGCGCAGGGATTCGGTTCAGTGTGATCCTGAAGAACTGCTGAAGCCACTGGACCTTTGACTTGATAACTGTCCTGTGTTAAACGTGCTATTAGGTGTGCAGCCTTGCAGAGCTAGTGGCTTTTCAGGGCTGTGTGTGCATACTGGCTCATGCTGTTGTAGCAGAGTCACAGTGTGGCTGTTGCCAGTGGTGTAACTGTTGTTAAGGCCTTAGCCTCACACACCAGCCATGCTGGTGTGACAGCCTATGTGCAGCGGGTCATAGGAGAGTGTAGCACATAGAACTGTGCTGTGAATGGCCCTTAACAGAGATACCACTGTGTGTGGCTTAATGATGGGGACCTATTCTGAGAGTGTGTCCTCAGGTGACTGGGAGGGGTGACTGTGAGAACACTCTAGGGTGTACTTACCAAGGCTGTGCGGGGTGGCGCACTGCACAGCCAGGCCATAGACCTCACACAGATTACTCAACACCGTGGGCAGCTGCACAGGCTAAGTAAGTCTCTACACATCTGAACATGCCTACACATAGGAAAGGAAGAGTAAAAACATAGCAGGTAAAGATCAGCAAGGGGAATCCTGTATGTGGATGGCACTTACTACACACAGAGCTGCAGGCCTGGGAGCTGTGACAGCCCAGGCCTTTGTGAACGCTGAACCCACACATATGAAGAAATGCTTTCTTTCCTCAGTGATACATCAGCCTAGCTTATGGTAATGTTTCCGTTCATAGACCTATACATGTAGGCATGTTCAGATGTGCAGAGACAGCCCCTACGCATGCCTGCAGGTTGAGGTCTGTGGTCTAGGTGTGATGGGCTGCCCTCCACAGGCTTGGGTAAGTAAACCCGTGGATGCTCTCACATCCTGGTTCCAGAAACTAAAGTAAAAATGTAGACCACTGGATCAGGGAACAAGTCTAGTGGTTGGAGACCTCAGACCTTCACACTGAAATGTGCAGCATGTGGCTGATTCCTCTTGCTGAGGGGCTCTGTGAAAAGTGCACCCTTTGTTGACACGTCTATTAGTGTCAAATGGAGCCTGTCATGGTTCACTCGGCTGGTCCCTGTCCAGTTCCTGTCATGCTGGCCTTGGGGATTTTGGAGGGAAAAATTCCTGTCATTATTTACTGTGTTATGAAAATTTCTTCAGGGATGTTTCTTTTGTCTACCCACGTTCAAGTCCTTCCTTGACAGGACACTCTACTCCCTAACCTTGTTTTGAAGGTCTTGACCTCATGAATCTCAGGCCTCACTGATTCTTCTCACCTGAATTCTTAAAAATATCCCATGGTGTTACATGCGATGTGTGTAATTTCATGCTTTTCATCAGGAAACATCTTTGAATTCCTGCTGCAGAGCAGGTGACAAGCTTTGCAGTACCTGCTCCGAAGATGTGGAAGTTAGGGGTTCCTTTGCCCCAGGAATGTGTGTTTGTGGAGTGAACAGGGCCTTGGCGTTAACAGACACCGCTCTCAGGATGGAATGGCTTGGGGCCCCTGTGGCAGTGTGGTGCTTGCTGGTCTACCATTGCATCTGCAGGTGGCCTCCTTCAGTCAGGCTCAGGGGATAGGACTTAGGGATAGAGACCAGACAGTGTTACAGCAGGAGAGTGGTTTGTAAGGTGCACCATGTGGCTCGTGGTGCCGTGAGTTCCTTGAGGGCTTAGGTCAGAGCCCTGTGGTTCAGCTTAGGATTGTGGGCTCTTGAGGAGGCTCCCCTAGGTGTGGTGCAGCGGTGGCTCAGCACCCCTTTCAGCAGCCTCCTTTGTGACCTGGTGTCCAGCTTGTGTGTGTTTCCCCCTCCCGTGGGGAGGCTTCCGTGGACACATGCTTGCCTTTCCCAGGGTGGTGCCTTGGGGTGTGCTGGCTAGGCTGTGTGGCCATGCCATTCCTCCCCACCAGCAGTGCATGTTGCTGTGGTCTTCAAGTGGGTGTGTGGATGCCACCTTTGGGTGCCTCCTTTGCTTGGGGTCTGCATCTTGCCCACTGCTGAGGACCTGGAGCTTCTTGCCTTACATCTTTTGGCATCACTAGCCCTCTTTGGAAAGGGTTCAGATCCATGGCCATTGTTAGAATATCAGGTCGCTGCTCTTCTTAGGAGGTTTGGCCTTGAGGCCTGTGTCCTTTGTTGGGTGGCTCCCAAGTCCACATCTACCTGTGGCGCCCCCTTGCAGTTCTGAACAGCAGCTTCCAAGAAGCAGAAGCTTGCTGTCTCCATGAAGCTCAGCTCTCCGCCCTTTTCTTTGGCAGTTCTTGTCTGTGGCATCGCATTCTAGAAAGTTTCCTCCCCAGGCTCTGCTCAATTCCAGCAGATGCTGGTGTGCATGTACTGTCCACTTCCACTGGTTCTCTTGTTGAGCGTTGTTTTTCATTGAATGTATAGATTCTCAATACTGCATTTCATTTAGTAGAAGATGGGCCATTTTTAATGAACTACTAATAAATCTAGAATAATACTTACACAGTGTTGTGCCTTGTACCAGCCCCAGTGGTACAAGGTTTGAGGCTAGCCTGAGCACCTTGGTGAGACCCTGTGTCTAAATTTTTAAAAAGGGATGTGTGCATTAGGCAGTAGGTCGCTCTTTACCATTCTCAGACTGTTATCAGGCACTTGCTTGTGCTGAGCAACATCTGTTGGCTGTTACCATCTCGAGCAGTGGGGAAGTTAAAAAGACAGTAACGATGGGTCTCACGGGTTGGAAGCCAGGTCAATTGTAGGTGAATTCCAAGTTTTAGAATCGGGAGTAAAAATGACATAACTAAGAGATGAGGAGGTAGGGAAGAAAACAACTTCCTCTTACAGAAAATTTTTATTGCAGTTCAATTCAAAATACAGGATTAAGTGCTGGGATTTGTGGTTTCAGGGCATGGTTTAGACGGGTCAGCAAGCTGTGGGTTTTGGGCCAGATTCTGGGTTTCTGTGTTTGACAGGCTAAAAATATTTGTTAGGCTCTTATGTGTTTTTTTTTTTTTTTTTTTAAAGGCGTACTATTTGGAATGTGTGAAAGTCATGTGAAATTGGAGTTGGTTCTATAAGTAAAGTTGCACTGGGACACAGCAGTTGTGCCTATCCCTTAATGGGGCAGTGCAGCGTCACTGTTCTCTTGTGGAGAATCCCCCTACCCTGGTCCTGGAGCAAGCGTTGCTGCTCAGGGTGGGTGGAGTGGGTGATGGTGTCTGGGCACAGTGCACTGTGGGACCCCCAGCAGCTTTCTTCATCTGCCTAAGACTGTTCTTTTATTTTGACAGAGATACCGAACAAAACCATACTGTTGTAGCCTTTGCAGATACTCGACAAAGGTGCTTGCTTCACTCAAAAACCATTTACATCGTCACCACGAAGATGAGGCTGACCAGGAGCTGGTGATCCCGTGCCCCAACTGCACCTTTGCCTCTCAGCCCAAGGTGGTGGGCAAGCACTTCAGGATGTTCCACGCCCCTGTTCGCAAAGTGCAGAACTACACAGTGAACATCTTAGGCGAGACTAAGTCGTCTAGAAGTGATGTGATTAGTTTCACATGTTTAAAATGTAACTTTTCGAACACCTTGTACTACAGCATGAAGAAGCACGTTCTGGTGGCTCATTTTCACTACTTAATCAACTCTTACTTTGGCCTGAGAACTGAGGAGGTGGGGGACCAACAGAAAGCAAGTGATACTGCTTCTGTGGACAGGACCCCGCCATCCGACCGGTACTACTGTAAGAAGTGCAGTGCCAATGCCAGCAGCCAGGACGCCCTGATGTACCACATCCTGACGTCTGATGTGCACAGGGACTTGGAGAACAAGCTGAGGTCAGTGATTTCAGAGCACATTAAGAGGACTGGGCTCTTGAAGCAGATGCACATTGCCCCAAAGCCAGCCGCCCGTTTGGCCATACCACCGAGCAGCGGCGCCCCTGGCATCCCAGCACCGCCATCTTGCTTTCGTCTCACCCTGCCACAGAATGGCCAAAGCCCGGCTGTGGTGCAGCCAGTGACTGTGGCCCCAGGCTCTGCTGGGAGTCTGACCCACTCCCCACCTGCGGTTGCCCAGCCCCACGTGACCCTGGTCTCCAGCCCTCTGCCTGTGTGCCAGAGCGGCCTCTCCCTGCAGCCCTCCACCCCCCAGCCTGTCCTTCTATCTCACGGGGTACCGCTCAGCCAGCCTGTGAACCCCCCTGTGTTGCCCCTCACCCAGCCTGTGGGGCCCATAAGTAAGTCTGTTGGAAAGAGTGTCCTCCCTGTGAGTCAGGCTGTCCGCCCTGGCGTCTTGCCCCTTTCCCAGCCTGTGGGGTCTGTAAGCCGACCTGTTGGGCCTGGTATCCTGCCTGCCAGTCCCTCTGTCACCCCCGGGGTTCTGCAGGCTGTCTCACCAGGAGTGATTTCTGTGGGTCGAGCAGCCCCATCGGGGGTCCTTCCTGCAGGCCAGATGACCCCTGCAGGGGTAATCCCTGGACAGACAGCAACTTCTGGGGTTCTCCCCACTGGCCAGGTGGCCCAGTCAGGGGCTCTCCCCGTTGGGCAGACAGCTCCATCTCGGGTTCTTCCCCCTGGTCCAACAGTGCCCTTGAGGGTTCTCCCTGCAGGCCAGGTGGTCCCGTCTGGGCTTCTCTCTGCCAACCAGCCTGTCTCCACAGGAGTCGTCCCTGTGAACCAGGGTGTGAGTTCTGGTGTGCTGCAGCTTAGCCAGCCGGTCACCACGGGGGTCCTTCCCGTGGGCCCACCTGCAAGGCCTGGAGTGCTGCAGCTCAGTCCCTCAGTCAGCACTGGCGTCCTGCCTGTGAGCCCCCCAGCCAGGGCAGGGGCTTCGCAGAGCACCACCTTCCTCACATCAGGCTCTATTCTCAGGCAGCTCATCCCCACTGGGAAGCAGGTAAATGGGATCCCCACCTACACCCTGGCTCCAGTGTCTGTCACCCTGCCTGTGCCCCCCGGCGGAAGCATGGCAACTGTTACTCCACCGCAGGTGCCTGTCCAGCTTTTGCCCTCAGGCACAGGTGCGCACATGGCCAGTTCCCTTCCCAGCCTGCCCTCCCCACAAGTGCTGGTGAGCGCTGCCCCGAGTGTGTTTGTTCAGGCTACTCCTGCCCCGGCAGATGCCAACCAGGTGCTGAGACAGGCCAAGCAGTGGAAGACCTGCCGGGTGTGCAACGAGCTCTTCCCGTCCAACGTGTACCAGGTGCACATGGAGGTGGCTCACAAGCACAGCGAATCCAAGCTCTGCCGGGTGTGCAATGAGCTCTTCCCATCCAACGTCTACCAGGTGCATGTGGAGGTGGCTCACAAGCACAGTGAGGCCAAGGTGGGCGAGAAACTGGAGCCCGAGAAGCTGGCCGCATGTGCACCCTTCCTGAAGTGGATGCGGGAGAGGGCTGTGCGGTGCCTGTCCTGCAAATGTGCCATCTCAGAGGAGGAGCTCATGCGCCACCTGCTCATGCATGGCCTGGGCTGCTTGTTCTGCCCCTGCACCTTCCACGACATCCGGGGCCTCCTGGAGCACAGCAGGACTAAGCACCTGGGCAAGAAGAAGCTGCCCCTGGACTATAGCAACAGGGGCTTCCAGCTGGACCTCGATGCCAGCGGCAATCTGCTGTTCCCTCATCTCGACTTCAGCACCATACTGCCGCGGGAGAAGCTGGGGGAGCGGGAAGTCTACCTGGCCATCCTTGCCGGGATACACTCCAAATCCCTGGTGCCTGTGTATGTTAAGGTGAGGCCTCAGCCTGAGGCTCTGCCCAGGGCCCCCAGCAGACAGAAGCTGACCTGTCCCTTCTGCTTTGGTACCTTCCTGACGGCTGAGGCCTATGAGCTCCACCTCAAGGAGAGGCACCACGTGATGCCGACGGTCCACACGATGCTCAGGTCTCCAGCTTTCAAGTGCATCCATTGCTGTGGGGTCTACACTGGAAACATGACCCTAGCGGCCATTGCCGTCCATTTGCTGCGCTGCAGAAGTGCTCCCAAGGACAGCAGCTCAGGCCTGCAGATCCAGCCGGGTTTTATTGAGAGCAGTGAGCTGCTGTTAGTCAATGGGGAAGTGATTCCTGATTCTACTTTTCCTGTGAAGAGGAAGTTGCCAGATGGCCATGTAGGGGTAGAAGACCAGCGGGAGCTGGAGGAGCCATTGCTTGTCCTAAACACCGATGTAGCCCCAAGCCCAGAGAAAGGGACAAGTGTCGTGCCTTTGAAGAGACAGAGGAATGAAGGCAGGACAGAGGGGCCCACGGCTGGTGATGACATGCTCCAGGTCTTGGTGTTAGACCCTAAGAAATATGAAGGCCGTTCTTACGAGGACAAAAAGCAGTTTCTTAGAGATTATTTCCATAAGAGACCTTATCCTAGTAGAAAAGAAATAGAATTGCTGTCCTCACTCTTATGGGTGTGGAAAATCGACGTGCCTGCATTTTTTGGGAAAAGGAGATATATTTGCATGAAAGCAATAAAAAACCACAAGCCCTCTGTGCTTCTAGGTTTTGATATGTCTGAACTTAAAAATGTTAAGCACAGGTTGAACTTTGAATATGAACCACAGCATTCATAGGACAGTGAGCCTCAGTCCCAGGCTGTGGTTCCCACTGGGCCTAGACTGCCCTGCTGAGTCCCTGAGTCCTGCCTGCTGCTCTTCAGCTGTTCCAGGTGCTCCGAGAGACTTCGGCTGAGGAGGAGGATGGCTCTTAGATTGGTTGTTTCCTGCAGTTGGGTTCTAACACTTACTCTCAGTTTTCTTCTGTCGTGTAAATTAAGTCTTTTGGCATTCATGCACGTCTTGTTTTCCCAGTAGCTCAGTATTGAATGAACTGAAACCTGCAAGTACTTGTTTTTTAATTTTAGGAGATGCCAGCTTGTTGGAGAGTACTTGATCAATTGGAGATGCCTATAGACCTGCAAAGTGATGGACACAGGGTTGAGTTGGAGGAGCGCACCCTATGATGTGCGTGGCTCCCTGCAGACACCCTGCCAGTTCTTCCTCGGAAGCTGCTTGCTTATGAGATTATAATTTTGATTAGACACTTTTTCATGTTTGTCTTGATGGCTGTTTCTTTTTTAAGTTATAACTCATAGAAAACCAAATGTTTGCATTTATTAAAAATACCTGAGTCTAAGGTCTGGTGTGCAGCTCATCATGGAGCTTCTAGTTGTAAAGTCATCGTGGGGCAGAAGTGCTTTCCAGCCTAGACTTTGCCTTTCCCTGTGGTGGCAGGCCGTTCCTCACTCACAGGGAGGACAGCAGCTGCTTAGTGCCTTTAGAGTGACAGAACACCCAGCACGCCACTCCAGCCTGAGCTGCTCCGGGCTGGAAGGGCCGTGTGCCCGCCCAAGCCTGCAGACCAGAGCTTGTCTTTGTGGTTGGGGTAGCGAGAGTTGGGCTCATCCGAGTGGGGAGCCTGGCCTATGCTCTGGCCTGATTTTGCAGGCAAGTGGGACAGGTGATTGCTAAAGTCTCCACGTGTCACGTGTTGGGGTGGGTAGCCCGTATTTCCATGGCAATGTGAAGTAGCACAGAGTCCAGGACGAATGCTGCACTCCCCGCAGGGCCGTGAGTGGTGCTCTGGGGCATGCAGCAGAGGGTGAGGTGGTCCCGGAGGCCAGCAGTGACTCACTTGCATGCAGGTGCTGTGATGTGTGCTTTCGAGGCAGTTGTGAAATTGGTCTGACTCTTGGTGTACTCTTGTAAATTCAGAGAGCTTGTCCGACTTTATAGTTTCCTTTTTTTTTTTTTTTTTTAACCTCTTGTTTCAGAGTGTCTATTTTGAATTAAAATTTGTTACACCACTGCAAATAGAACTGGCTAATTCTTTGATCTTTAAAACATGGTGTGAGCCAGGCTTGTTGGAGCCCAGGAGTTGGAGGCCAGCCTGGGCAATGTAGTGAGACCCTATCTCAAAAGAAATGAATGAAAAATTGCAGACTCATGGGAATAGTCAAAACATGGACATTGATACCACATTTATTGCTAAAGATCATTCATTATTCGTGTGAAAATAAGCATAACTCAGAGGCTAATTAATTACCAGTCATCAAATTGATGTGTGTATGAATGTTTTTGTTACTTTGGCAAAGATTTCATAAAGAGGAGAGGGTTATTATGGCTCATGATTCTGGCGGCCTAAAGTGGAGGGGCCTCTTACTGGGGGAGGCGCTTGGAAGGGGAACTCATTTGGTGCATGTTTGCTGGCAGAGACCTGAGGTGAGGGGACTCATCTGATGTCTTCTTGCTGATGGAGGCCCGCTGGCGCAGGGCATCACAAGACAGACTGATCCTTTGGTTCACAGAACCACCAGGGCCCAGGCCGAGGGCCTCATCCCATTCCAGCCCTCCCAGTGGCCATCAGCGTGCCAGGTGGAGGATGCAGTTCCTCCCTCGGGTGCCCGTGGGAGACACTCAGACAATAGTGTGGCTAGGGGTTCCCCGAGTTTCTATGACAGCCTCCAAAGTGCCAGAGAGGGCACAGCTGGGAGGTGGGGGCAGTGAGCTTTGCCCTTGCTGACCCTGTGCTTTGTGGCAAGTCTGTATGGCTTGGTCCTCCTGCCTGCGTGTGCACTGGGGCTCTGCAGCCTCCACACCTGTGGGCTTGCCAGGCGGCTCTCTACCTCCACCTAGAGAGCAGCAGCACACCATGCCCCATCCCCACCTGAGTGTCACTGCCAGGCAGCCCCTCTTGAGCAGAAAGCCTTGGGAGCACCACTGCCATTGGGGCATTCTGCTTCCTCGCGTTTTAACTTTTGATGGTTAGTCTCAATTCTATGTGAGTTGCTATTTCTAAGCAGATTTTTAGGGATATAGATAAAAATTTGACAAAAGTTGAGCTTTGGAAAGCACATGTGACAGTTCTTGCTAATGTAAATAAGTGAATGTATTACTAAAAATGAAAAATGACAATAATTTTTAAGGTCTGCCTAGAAATAAATGTCAGCTACCCAGTATTTGCTAGGAAATGGGCTGCAAGATGTTAGCCAGCCAGGGCCTGCTGGGAACTGCCATTCGTGGAACCTGCCCTAGTATCTGGCAAGGGAGGTGCTCAAGTGGTGGGCAGGGGTGGGTTTGTGTGCCCATTGATTCCATTCAGTCTCACAGGTGAGGAAACGCTCAGGTAAGCCGGGCAGCTGCCCAGTCTGCTCAGGACTTGGGTCTCCAGATATTTAGGGCTAAAACTGGGATGTGCAAGCAAATGGGCAAGTTTGTCACCCATGCGTTTCTGCTGCCCTGGTGACGTGGCACTCAGTGGTGCAAGACGTCTACTGTAGCTCCTGAGGTGTCAGCGTGTGCAGGGTACTGGATGTGGTAGCACACACCCGTGATCCCAGGTGATCATGGGACTGAGGCTGGAGGATTAGGAGTTGAAGGCCAGCCCAGGAAACAGGCCCTGTCTCACAACAGGAAAGGCTCAGAACAGAATGGGATGGGACTCGGTGGTAGAGCACTGCTCAGCATGTGTGAGGTGCTGGGCTCCATTCCTAGCACTGGAAAACAAACAATAAATGGTGTATAGGGCATCCTGACCCACATTGCCCTTTTCTGGTGATAACACCGGCAGGGTTGCTGTGTGCCCATGCTCTTTTGGACCCTGGGGATAAGCGCGGCACCGCGTAGTGCCAGTGTATAGGAGTGCTGGCTGGTGAGCAGCGGACTGCACACAGCCTTGGTGCAGGGGCTCCTGCGACCCTGGCTCTGACATGCCTGGGAGGGAACCCCACCCGGGGCTCAGAACTGAGCTGCCTACTTGTGCTTGTCAGTGGACTGCTTTTCTCCAGATCTGGGCCCAGTCACCGTTTGTCGTTGGTTTTCCGGTGCTAGGAATGGTGCCCAGCGCCTCACAGGGGCTGAGCGGTGCTCTACCACAGAGTCCCATCCCTAGGCCTTTCCTGTTCTAAGATAGGACCTGTTTCCTGGGCTAGCCTTGAACCGCTGATCCTCCTGCCTTAGTCCCATGAGAACCTGGGATCACAGGTGTGTGCTACCACACCCAGTACTCTGCACACCCTGACACCTCAGGAGCTCCTGGGGCACACCTGCCGACCTGGGCCTTGCAGCTTTGGCTGGCGTTTCCAGGTACTAAAACCAGCTTCAGACCTCTTCCTGTTCTCAATGACTTGTACTCATTATTACTCAGTCTGTAACTACAAGCCTGAAGTCAGTTTGCCAGCGTAGATTATAAAGGACTGAGACTGAAGGGGAAGCTATTTTCACATGTCACAAATGTGCCCTGAAAGCTCACTCAACAGTGTGTCCTCAGGTGAATATGCAGATCCCACAGCCAGGAGTTTCTAGTTTGTAACCTGTGAACCTCCTAGTAGAAGGGCCTGAGGCACTTAGGAGGCTGAAAGACTGAGTTCTAGAATATTTCCAGGCTTTTCATGATGGACAGTTGAAATGAGAACTGACTTGGACACTGCCATCCTCAGAGTTCTATGGCCATGACTCCAAGTCCTGGGGCTGCTGAGGAGGTGAAGGCCACTTCCTAAGAGGTGCCAATGGAAAAGTGGAGCCTGTTGAAAGAAGCTTGAAGCCCTCTGTGGTCTGACAGTCAACAAACAGCAATGCCCATCTTTCCCAGATGCTGCACTCCTGGGGCTGCTCTGTAGGAGCTGGGACTGGTGTTTCTCAGCCGTTTAGAGAAGGTTCCCCATAACCACGTGTCCTCCTCCTCCTCTTCCTCCTCCTCTTCAAAGGGCAGGAACTTATTCTAGACCAGGTATGGATGGTGGCAGTTCCACAGTGTCAGCTTGGAGTGACTTGCATGAGCATCACAGGCAGGAGGGCCACATTCTGCTAAAGCCTGAAGACACAGAATTTGAGGTTTGTTGATATGGAGGTTTTTCTGGGCACAGCTCGTGACAAATGACCAGGGATAGGGTTAGGGTGTCACTGTTTTCAGTCTTAGGGTGCCCCTCCTTTTATGGGTCTCAAGTGAGGGGCTGCATCATTCGGAGGTCTGGTGTGTTCCTTAAGCTCATGGGCCCGATTTATCCACATGAGATTGATACACCCATGCATCCATGTGCTGCTGCTTTTTTTTTTTTTCAGAGAGAATTTTTTAATATTTATTTTTTAGTTTTCGGCGGACACAATATCTTTGTTTGTAGGTGGTGCTGAGGATCAAACCCAGGCCGCACGCCTGCCAGGCGAGCGCACTGCGCTTGAGCCACATCCCCAGCCTGCATCCCTGTGCTTCTCATTAATTCAGTAAGTTCATAGGTGGTCATTCTTACTAACATGCGTAATTTATTTATCAGTTTATGCCTATGGTTGTGCCAGGCAAATGGTGGCTGTTTACTTGTATAAAAAATGCGTATAGTCATTACTGCTCAGAGCTTAAACTCAACATGTAGTAACTCACGGCACACTACTGCTTCATGAGATAGTAACAAAGATATAGGCACAGACTATAACCATTATCTACACACCATGGAGTCACTCAGGGCAGGTGCAGAATGAGGACTGCTGTTCTACACACCATGGAGTCACTCAGGGCAGGTGCAGAATGAGGACTGCTGTTCTACACACCATGGAGTCACTAGGGCAGGCACAGCCTGAGGACTGCTGTTCTACACACCATGGAGTCACTAGGGCAGGCACAGCCTGAGGACTGCTGTCCTACACACCATGGAGTCCCTAGGGCAGGCACAGCCTGAGGACTGCTGTCCTACACACCATGGAGTCCCTAGGGCAGGCACAGCCTGAGGACTGCTGTCCTACACACCATGGAGTCACTCGGGGTAGGCATTACCTGCTCTCCACAGTTCCTGTCCTGCAAGGGTGGCAAGTCAGCTTCACCCCTTATGGATGAAGGCTGCATGGTCCACACCTTCAGTGAGGAGAAAGGAGCATGCTGAAGAAAGCGGGGCAGCCAGAGTACCTGGCACTGGGCTGAGCAGGCCTGTGAGGCAGGAGTAGGCCAGCCTGCTGCTCCACATTGGCATAAACGGGCTGGGGAAGGGATTCAGGCAGAGTGCTCCTAGCATTTGGCGTTCACATTCTCCATCAGTGACGTTCTGCCCACTGCCAGGGTGGGCAGGAATTCCTCGGGGAGAATTAGGTGGAAGAGAGGAACGAGTATCCTCTGTCAGTGACTGCCAGTGGAGCGCCTTGGCTGTGTGGTGTGAACCCCTGCAAGCCCTGCACAGGAGGGCTCTGTGTCACTTGGTCCAGGTGGTTCTGGATGCCCTGTGCTGCAGTCCCTGCCTGCTGTCTTGGCTGCGTTATCTTGGGTGCAGTCAGATCCCAGTCCCAGCTTCAGAGGATTCTCTCAGTAGCCCCTCCCCCAAGGCGTTGGGCATTGCACCTTAGTCTCGGGCTGGCAGGGGCTGGCTGCTTCCACTCCCTCCACAGGGGCAGGGGGCCTGGCTGGGTCAGGGCTGATGGGCCTGCAGCCCCCGCCAGTGCAGCAGGGGTCCAAGGAGGGAGTGAAGCTGCCTTCAGCCTGGCACACAGGCCCAGGCCACATGAGTCTTCTGCAGAGCACCTTGAATGGTCTGGGACTTTTTATTCTGAGCATTTCCTTTGGGAAATGAGTTTTGGATCCATTTAGAAAATACCATAGTCAAGTTCTTTGTTTTTCCCTTTTGCAGTGCCAGGGACTAAACCCAGGGCCTGTGCATGCTAGCAAGCCTCCACCACCAACCTGTTACCAGCCCTTCTTACTTTAGGCAGCTCTGACTTTCCCAGGCTGGCCTCCAGCTGGTGACTCTCCTGCCAGCCTCCGGAATGCTGGGATTGCAGACATGTGCCACTGGGCCCAGCCATGGTTGAAGTCTTCCTGGGCACTCCCACCTACCTGCCACCCTTTCCCCATCAGAACACTCCAAACCATACTTCAGTCAGCTGGTTGTTGTGGTTTGTGACTGAGAACTAGCCTGAGGCCCTGGAGAAGTCCTGTTCTCAGTGTGGACTTGAGGGTCCTCCCCAGATATCAGCATGGCTGCCTTCCTCAAGGGAGTAAGGCTGCAGGCACAGGGTGACAGAGCCACGGAGTCTGGCAGTGAGGGGAAGCTCTGTGCATAGGCCAGCTAGGGCAGGGAGAACCCCGGGGACTCCCGTGGAGGTGTATTCCCTGCCAGGCCAAGCGCAGATGAAGCACCAGTGTTTCCAGCGTGGTGCCGAGGCAGGGGATGTCTTCATGTTTTCCTGTATCTTACAGATTTTCTTAAAGGAGTGTGTTTATTTACTTTTCTAAAAGTATAAGTGGTGTCTTGCTTGACAGTGTCACCAGTAGGAAGATGAATTGGCTCATTTGACAGTGAACTGTGGGAGCCGCCGCTGTACTTGAGTGATGACTGCTGGTCGGGAAATCGCCAAGCTTGAGGTGCAAACACTTGGGTGGTCCCTTGGCCCAGTAGCAGATAGGTGACACTCCCCGGGAAAACAGAGCATGGGGCTGGTGGGCAGCACTCCACGCTATGATGGCCCCTGTCCCCTCCTTGCCAGCCTTGTGAGAACATCCATCTGCAGAGGTGGCATGTCCTGGCCCCTGGGGGAGGTGCCAGCCAGGCCAGAGGATAGCAAGCAGAATGTGTTCCCTGAAGTCACAGAGTGGCTGTTGAAGGTCAGAGCCCCAGACCCACAGGAGCAAACCGGAATGACAGACATCAGGTGGCCTCCATGCTGCTCCTGCCACCATCACTGGCTGATTCTCCACCTCCCTGTTGGGTCCTGTCTGATGCTGGGGGACCAGGGTCTTGCCCTTAAGAGCTCCTAGCCCTGAAGCGAGACCCTGTGCCTGTCCGCACTGCAGTGTGAAGGCAGGCTGACTGGGGAAGAGAGCTGAATTCTTGGTGGGGGCTGGGTACTGGCGACGGGCCCATTTCAGGCTGGCAGCAGCACCAGGCAGCTCTGGGCTGCTGCTTCTGGGCAGTGCTGCCCCCCGCCCCCACCCCATTCAGGAGTGCCAGGTGCAAAGATCAGTCAGGCCAATTAGCCAAGAGGTTCTTGAGAAATTTTGTTGAATAAGCAAATTTGATGAAAATCCCCTTGGCAGTAAGTCTCTGGAGTGTTGGGAGCCTTCCTCCCGCTCTCTTCCTCTTTCCTTCTGCTCAGTCCTGTATTGAGGCAGAGCACAGCTGGCAGAAGGGCCGAGCTGAGAAAGGGCCACGAATGAAGCGTGGAGCTCCAGAGGTGTTGCAGGGGCCCACGTAGGGCTGTTGGCCTGGAGTCGGGGAGGAGAATGGCAGCATGCAGGGGGCTGATGGGCTGATATATCAGGGATAGCAGGAGCAGGTTTCTCGCTGTGTCAGTGGACTCTGCTGCACTATGACCCAAACACCTGACAAGACAACTTGGCTCACAGTTCCCATGGTGGGCGACTCCATGGCTCTGGGCCCATGGCCAGGCAGGACATCATGGCGGAAGGCGTGGCAGAGGAGCACTGCTCCATTTGTACCATCCAGGAAGGTAGGGGATGAAGCCTCCCAAGGCACACTCCACCTGCCTACAGTCACCACCCAGTCAGTCCACTCAAACTAGGACTGGTTAGGTTCCAGCTCTCAGTCCAATCACTTCACCTCTGGACATTCCTGCATTAACAGGAGCCTCTGGGGGACTCTTGTCAGAACCATGACACTTGTAGATAAGGAGAGGGAGAAGCCCTGCAGAATAGATGGGAATGAAGGCATCGGGATGCTGATGGTAGAGACAGGAATGGCAGAGGTGGGCACATGTACCTGTGTGAGGACAACAAGGCTTGTCAGAGCACCCAGGCTTGGGACAGCTGAAGGACTTGGAAGTGGCTTTTACTTGCAGCTGCGGTTTTTCCAGTGAGAGGCTACAGAGAGCATCCACCAGGGAGAAGGTGCCAGGTGGGCAGCCTCTCCTGGGTGTGGCAGATGCTGTGGCTGAGTGAGGCATGGTCACCAGGGGCGCTTGCTGAGCCTGAGTCCGCATACTTACTGGGGTCATCCCGCATGTGCACATGAGGCTTCAGAGCTCCAGAATAAAGTAGGGTTCACCATCAGTTACATCGTTTAGCAGACTGTTGGGCCGAAGGGTGTGATGCTGGTCAGTGAGCGTGTTCCTGAGGGCAGCCCAGAGATGGCCAAGGGAACACAGGCCCTTCCGGGGTGCAGGAGGGTGAGCCACTCAAGCCTGGGACTGACTTCCTGCGTGTGTGTGTGTGTGTGTGTGTGTGTCCGTCCCCAGGGCTGCCCCCTGGGAAGGCTTGGGGACCATTCTTCCTGTACATGCATGTACTTGTTGGTGTAGGCTGCAGGGCACTCTTGCTTGCAATGCCCAGGGCTGCCCCGGCACATCCCAGGAATGGGGAGCACATCTGGAGGCTCATCTTCTCTTCTGATGGCTGTTCTCCTTGGTGGCACCAGCACTCCCTGGAGAGAAGGTGAGTGCAAGATGGATCAGAATACACCCTGAGATTGGTGGGACTGAGTGTGAACATACACAGAGGACTGGAGACACTCACTAGTCAGCCTTTTTGACGTAAAAATAAACATTGAAGGTAATAGATTGTAACCACTGAATAAAACAGGAGTCCATGTGTTTATATTGATGTAAGTAAGTGAAGAATTCCTTACATTTACCAGAATTGTGAGGGACCCTCCAGGTACCTCCCTCAAAACATCCAGCAGTTTACCCAGGGAAGAGAACACACCCAGGGTGTGTCTGGGAGGTCCCTTCCTGAGGTGAAGAAGCCAGATCCTTGGTGGAGGACGTCTGGCAAGCCCCCTGAGCCCTCTCTGTCTCGAGAGGAGCGCAGAGCTGGAGAAACTACAACAGGTAGTTTAGGAGCACTGCTGAATACAGAGATGCTCCTCCTGGAGCCCTGAGCACAGTCCGGGTTCTCATTTGCACAGTGGGGAAGCATGGCTCTGCCTTGCGGAGGATGTGAGGACCCCAAATGAAGAGACCAGCAGGGCCGCACTCGGCACCAGCAGTCCCCTCTCAGCACACAAGAGACATATTGGTTACACATTTTGTTAACTCAAAGGCAAAAAAATTTATTCTCTGATATATAAAACAAACAAACAAAAAATCCTTAATATATAGTGACATGGTTTTGTTGCTTTTCTTTTAAGAGACAAATTGCAGAAGTATAGACCCGGGTAGAAAAATACACTCTCACAGGTCCTCCAAGCAGCCTGTGATCCCTGCAGTTACCAGCAACAGGCACAAAGCTTACACACTGAGTGAGCCTTGTCTCTTTAAAACATGGATTTGCATTTGCGTAACAATTTAATACAACTTCCCTTCTTGGTAGTGGGCCCAGTTATTCCACGGACACTAATACCAGCAGAGACCCAGTGAAAACCTCATCTTGGTGATCCTCCCGGGCATTCCCGTGGCTCCACGGCTTGTCTCACTGGCCAGCACCTCCCCTGTGGCAGCTCCATGCGTCCTGGGGGCTGGATCCCTGCCCAGTGGTGTCTCACTCTGTCCTATACTCTGGAGATGTGCTGTGGCCCCTTGTACAAAATGAGAAACTCAGACGCAGGGAGGAAGCTACTCGGAAAAGGCTACTCTGCCCAAGAAAGAGTTTCAAAGGGAAAAGAAGTTTCTTTTCACTTAATTAATGCAGCTGGGCTGCACCAAATCCCTCTGACCTTGACAGATCAAGACAGTTCTGCTGATGGCCAGCAGGTGGTGCTGGATCATGCAGAAAGCAGCAGTGGAATTCAGGCTTAGAAAACCTGGAAAATACTCTTTGTTTGCAGGAGACTTATTTGGCCAAAGTTTGTTCTCAAAGCATAAATGTAATGTTTTCTCCCTGACATTGGATTTAAGCTGAAGACATACTTCATATAAAATTTAATTGACTCAAACATGAATAAACTTCTAAAAGTTTAAAGGAAAGTGACACTGAATTTAATATTTGTTAAAACCATTATGTTCATATGACTCAAAAGCAAGAGAACCCCTGCCTCTGACCATGACGTTAGGAATGGAGGTCAGTATGTGTTCATCAACTGACAGGAAGAGCTGGCTGCTGTGGGGGCAGAGATAACTCTGTCCCGGTGCCTGAGGCCCGTTGTCCACCACCTCTGTAGGAAACACTCGAAAACCTCCCCGAAGGACAAGTTGGGAGCACGCAGCTCGCAGTCACCTCTGGCAGCGCCTGCCTCACCTTCACTCTGCTTCCTGAGACGGTGGTGCCTACTGCTGTAGGGACCCACATGCCCGTGGGGGTCTGGCCTGGTGTGAATGCTGCTGCTGGACCTGGCACAGGCCTGGCCCCTCGGTCCTCTTGGGGAAGTCTTGTGCAGGTCAGCAGAAACCGCGCAGCATAAAGGGCATCTTCACGTGAGCTGAGTTAAAAAACATGAACTTCAAAAGCTTAATTAAAAAAAAATGAAGTACTTTTGAAATTTAAAAACTAATTATTTCTGTATTCAGATCTTTCAGAGGGCTGGAACCTGCATGGGGGCCTGGCCTGGGGTGTGCATGTGTCTGTTAAGTTGTGGGGCAAAATTCTATAAAATAGTGCTGAGCTGACACAGAGAAGAGGGCTACGCCTGTGACCAAGGAGGAAGGGACACAAGCTGTCCTCGTTTTAAGTTGGCATACATTTTTAGCATATTCCTGCTAGGAATTTCACGTCTGAAATCACAGTGCCTCCCAGGGCCACCGGCTCCCACAGCCCCTGCATGGGACAGGCAGCACTTGCCTCACCCAGCCTCTGGGCCTATAGCGTGACGGCTGGCCCGTGCTCCTCCACCCCGCCTTGCGGCAGGACCAGGCTGTGGCGGGGGTCCGCCTTCAGGGAGCAGAGAAGTCTGTGGATGCTGCCGTTGCTCTCCCGTCCCGGGCTGTGCAGCGCCAGGTCCCGCTGCAGCCTGTGTGCGAGGCTGCTGCCATTGGCCCGAGACAGGCTGCCTGAAGGTGTGCCCTGCATCTTGGAGACACACTGAGGCTCTAAGGTGCCCTCAATGACGATGTCAGCTTCCTCGTCGCTCTCCATCTCATCGGGGTGGAAGTTCTGCAGCACGTGGGCCACTGGCAGGCTGTGGTGGCTGGCAGTGCTGTCCGTGGACTGGCCAGAGCTGCCGGACGTGCGGCTGCTGCGGACGACATTGTTCCTCTGATTGGCGGGCTTGACAGTGACGATGAGGTTGTGGCTGTTGGCAATCATCATGTCTGTGACCTGGTCCAGCGTCTTCCCCGCCACCTCAATCCCGTTTACCTCCAGGACTTCGTCATTCACTGCCAGCAGTCCGGTGCTCTCTGCCAGGCCCCCAGGGACCATGCGGGAAATGAAGATGCCTGGAACCTTCTCCAGCCCATGGGGGGTGACCCGTACGCTGGTGCCGTCTCGGATGTAGAAGCCCAGAGGCTTTTCGCAGCCATGTCTGTACAGCCTCACGCGGCGGTGCGTCTCGGGGAGGATGTCCACGTCGATGATGGAGGACACGGGCCGAAAGTCATGGGGCAGGCTGATGTCAAGGTGGGCACGACGGCGGAGACCCTCCTCCCTCAGGGTCACCAGCACCTTCTTCTTCCTGGAGAGGGTGCCAGCCCCAAAGCTGTAGTGGTCTGCCTCTTCTGAAACAGCCCAAAGACAGAACAGTGAGAAGCATGGCACACAGTAGTTGGCAAAGCTCAGCCTGAAGCGCAGGCTGCAGGCCCCGCCCCTACAGCAGACCAGCTGTTTCCAAGCTTATGCTAGGCAAGCGCTCTACCCCTGAGCCCCAGCCCCAGACCTCCCAGCTACCTTTACACTCCCCGCTAGTTCCCAAGCCCTGGCAGAACTGCTACGAGGGTCCTCGAGCACAGACACATGGGCAAGACTGAGGGGTCACTTCACCACGCCTGCCAGGCACACCTGAGGTCAGCACAGGTGCAGTCGCCTCCCTGAAACAGAGGCACCTGGCCTGCCTGGCAACCAAACCCAGTGATGGGCGATGGGGGTGCTGTGGCCAGTTGAGGGCCTTAGCAGGGCCAGGGCCAGCAGGGCCTGGGACATGCGCTTCCAGGGCAGGACTGTGTGTCCTCCATGACACCCAGATGGGTCCCTGCAGATGATCCACCTTTTGTCACACTTCCATTTCCAACTGTAAGGCAGAGAACTGGCTGCTTCGCGGGTCCCAGGATAGCTCCACACCCACACTATGGTCCGTCTCCTTGCACCTTGGCACCACAAGCAGCTCAGCCTGATGGAAGGTGTCCTCAGGACTCAGTTCTGCCCATTCATGGCGCGTGGCCAGACAGGGCACTGCTGCTGCCCTGATGGAAGACCATGGCAAAGTAAGACAGCGGACTGACCTCACTGGGCAGAGAGGGTGCCAAGGGCTTAGTCTAAAGGTTCTGAAAGTTGGAAGAAGATGAAGGGGCAGCCAGCTGGCGGCTGGAGTCCTGAAGAGGGCCGTCTCCCTATGTCGGAGACAACACCCACGACACTTCACATTTATGTTAAGCCTCTTAGTGTTGACACAAGTTTCTGCAAGAGAGGCCCTTCTGGGCCCAGATGAAGGGCTCCCTCCCACGGAACCCCTGATATACATGTTGTTCTCTGTACTGGCTCCCTGGGGTCTGCACCTCATGGTGGCCTACTCTGCATGGCCTAGGGGGCCTCTCTGTCCTTGCTGGTGAGAACCTGGCCAGGACCTCTCCTCCTCACACCCCTCTCTTCAAAGCCGCCTGTTCCTCAGACCCAGCTCCAGTCACACCGGGCACTGAGGGGCAGCTAGTTCACAGCAGCCCAGGATGTCTGTGCACAGCCTCAGAGCTAATCTTGGCTCTTCTCACTCAGGGGGCTGCAAAAGACTGAAGGAGTAAAAGGAAATAAGCCCTGGGCATCATGGGTAGGAAAGTCAGGCAAAACAAAAGAAGGAGAGCAGGGTGCAGAGATGGTGGTGGGCAAGAGTTCTCTGATAGCCACCAGCAGAACTAGCTCATTGTCAGAGGGCCAGACTCCCAGAAACCAGAGCCTGCTGCAGCCAAACCCCATCCTTAGCTGCTCGCCACCTGCTAGAGGTTCCAGAAGGCCAGGTGCACAAAGAAGCACTCAGCCATGCAACCCAGGGCTGAGAGGAGAGGCTCTCAGACCATGGGCACCAGATGGCAATGACAAGAGTGGTGGCCCTGGGTGGCCGCACTGTGAGACGCCGGAGGCCGTCCTGCTGAGGCTGTGCCTGGGGAGCAGTGCCCACTCCTTTGGCCAGTGTGCAGAGGTGTGAGGCACAGAGAGGGCGGGTTCCACAGCGGCCACCTGTGGCTGGCTGGGCCTTGCTCCCTTGGCCAGGCCCATCTTGCTGCCACCTGCACAGGAGCTGAGCTGTGTGAGCAGCTCAAGCCACCTCACAGCACTGCCTTCAGTGCAGCGACGGCGGTCGCCTGGGAGCCAAGGAGCCAGGACCTGACCCACAGCATGCAGAAAGGGGAGCACTGTGCACAGAGCAGCTGGGGCTGAGCAGAGGCTGTGGGCTTGGAGTTTCTGCCAAAGACAAAGCCAGTCCTCAAGGCTCCAGATTCTGGTTTTGCTCTAATGAATGGAATTTATTCTCACAAATTGGTGCTCTCAATCTCTTATCAAGGGCCTAGTCAAATAATGGGTACATTTTGTTAGTGACTTAGAAAGTTCTTGTTGGGCTGGGAATATAACTCACTTGGTAGCTTGCCTAGCATGCACAAGGCCCTGGGTTCAATCCCCAGCAACACGCACACACACACACGTCCTTGTCTCCCTCTGAGGCAGGGCTGCAGAGAGCAGTGTCGTCAGGACTGCTGCTCCTCCGCTTGCCTATGCATCTGGGGCTCTGGCCTGTTCTTGGCTTCTAGCTTCTCAGTAGTCTCTCACCCTTCTCCAGTAATGCTGAGCTACTGGAGGAGCCTTGGCCCCTCAGACCATGCTTCTTGGTCACCGAGAATGTGTCAGTCTCTGCCTATCCCCATGATCTCTGTGGTCTGCCTTGGCATCAGTGTCTGAACTGGCAGGGCAAGTGAGAAGCACGGACTTCAGAACCCCCTCGCGGAGCTGCTAAGCAGTGATGTGCCTGCTGAGGCATGCAGTGGTACTCTGTTCTCTAGGCATGTGGGCTGCCTATACTGAGAAGCAAGTATCTGCAGGGCAAACTCCCAGGTTATTTTTTGCTATGTCAAAGGATTTGTGCAGTTTAGTTTTAGTAGATGGTCTCCAGGCATCCTCTAGGTTTGGGGTCCATTTATGTGCCCTGGACATGGACAAGAAGAGTGTGTAGAGCTGGAACCTGGCTGATGGTGGCAAGGCTTATCTAGAGACCACGTGGAAGGACCTGCACTCTTCAGGCTCCCTCAGGAGTGGGTGAGGCTGGAGGGAGGGGTCAGACTCAAGGTCCCTCCTCTATACCACAGCTGCCTCCTTCATAAGCTCTAAGACCCCATGAATCTGAGTCTCTAACCTTTGGCCTTTATTGCTAGCACCCACTGCTGACTCCTCTGGCCTTGACCAGAGACTTATTTAACTGCACAGGGAGTTTTAGCAAATCTCAAGGTGCAAAAAACCAGCCATGTTCTTTAGGGCCCAGATGTTAACTTTGTAGTGCAACACATCAATCAAAGCAATGAGAGTTAACAATGATGAGCAGACATGTCAATCAAAGCAATGAAAATGAACAATGACAGTGGGCCCCACTGCAGTCCTCTGCATCACACAGACTTGTGGGCACTCGGGCCTGCAGGGGCTAGGAGCAGGGTGCAGCTCTGCAGGGCATCAGGGGGCAGCTGCTTGCCACTGGTTTCCTACAGATGCATATTGGGTGTGGGTGGGCATCCAGGGGCCCCATGTCCTGAGGGGAGGTGGGTGCTGCATGGAGCTTGTAGCAAGGGCAAGAATAGTATGGGCATCAGGACTCTTCCCTGCCTTCGCACAACTCAGGGGTCCTGGGAGAAGGCTCTGGGGGAGCTTGGGCAGAAGCCCCGAGACCTCCAGGCCTGCCCCACATACCACCTCCAGCCCTGGCAGATGCCCCTCTAGGAGATGGTGGCTCAACTTTGATGCTGAGACTACACTGCTCCTCTGGGAGACATGAAGGGAGAAGCAGGACCCCTCAGGATGAATCCAGTAGCAGTGTGTGCAGCAGAGTTTCAAGGAACAGGATGTGCACTCTCACACTGGGTGCTTCTCACTGAGCATGGAGACAGGCAGGCTCTGGCCCTGGTCCAGGGTGTGCATTCTGAGCCCCAGTAAGGGATGCACTGAGCCCTGTCCTGGAATGCAGGTTCTGAGCCCAATTCTGGGGCTATGCTGATGCTCTCAGAGGGGCTATGCTCTGAGTTCATGGACTTATCCTGAGCAATAAGGTAATACTGAACCAAGGAGTATGTCTATCACTGGCAGTCAGTTGTGTCAGTGGGAGGGGAAAGTCTCTAGGCAGGAAGTAAAAGTGTGGGCTGCTTGGTGGGGAAATGAGCAGATGCCCCACAGGGAGGGAGGGGTGCGTATGACTCTGGTTCTTCCCAAGCTGCTGAAGAACTCGGGGGTCCTGGGAGAAGGCTCTGGGGGAGCTTGGGCAGAAGCCCTGAGACCCGGCCTAGTTTCGCCTGGACCTCTTTCCCAGCAGCTAGGGCCAAGGGCGTGTGTGGCTCCGACTGTAGCCAGGGAGCCCTGCCTATCTGCAGCAGGACAGCCCAGCCTGGGGCACCTGCCAGGGCCTGTGTGGGGTCTCAGAAGGCACTGCTCCCCTTGTTCTCTAAACATCACCCACCACATATGAACTTCCTTAGTCAAAAATCTCAAACTGTCTTAGAATGTGTTCTGAAAAATGCCCCATTCCTAAAATTCCATCTTTGGTTCCTGAAATACCTTTTCATGAGAGCTAAATTGCCACAGCTTCTCAGTCAAGAATGTGCTAAATCTGTATTTTCCACAAAGTGAGCAATGGGAACAGCTTCCTCCTTTAAGGACAGCTCTCCCCATGTCTGTTTCCACTCAGATTACATTCATTTTATTCTCTCACTTCTATTTCAGGATATCCCCCAAAAAGTGGGGAAGAGAAGCCTGTGCTATAAATCTCCTATGGTTACAGGTTTTCTTTTACTTTTTTTTTTTTTTTTTTTGTAGTGAGGACTGAACCCAGGGGTGCTTAACCACTGAGCCACATCCCCGGCCCTACCCCTTTTAATAAAATATTTTGTTTATTTTTCTATTTATTTATTTTTATATGGTGCTGAAGATTGAATCCAGTGCCTCACAAAGACCACTGAATCACACCTCCAGGCCCCCCAGTCCTTTTTTATATTTTATTTTGAGACAGGGTCTCGCTGAGTTGCTTAGAGCCTCACTAAGTTGCTAAGGCTGGCTTTGAACTTGCAATCCTCCTGCCTCCGCCTCCTGAGCCACTGGGATTACAGGTGTGTGCCATTATGCCCAGCTGATTACAGGTTTTCAAACTAGAGAATTTCTATGAAATCTTTCCTCATTTCATGTTTGAGCCTGACATGGATTAAACCCACTCCTGATCCTGAGCTGGCCTGCTCTCCTGCAAGAAAGGTTGGGGAGCTTGTAAAACCTGGAGGTTTGGGGGGCCACCCTCCTGGACAGAGCTAACTACCTGGCACAGGGAGGG